GCTGATGAAGTTTAAGCAGTGGTATAGGACAATGCTTGGCTGTCCTGGTTTTGGCTGGGATACAATTCATTTTCTTCCTAGTAGCTGGTCCAGCGCTGTGCTTTGGCTTTAGCCTGAGAACAATGCTGATAACACATCAATGTTTTAGTTGTTGCTCAGTAGCACTTACCCTGAGAGACTTTTCAGTCTCTCATGCTATGCTAGCGAGGAAGGGCGCAAGAAGCCAGGAGGGAGCAGAGACAGGACAGCTGGCCCAAATTAGCCAAACGGATATTCATACCACAGCAGCAAAAAGGAAACTAATCATTTAAGAAAAGGAAGGAAAAAAAATTAAAAAAGACTAAAGCAGGCTATGGTAATTCATTGATTGAAGTGACCTGGTCTCTTGTGAGACCTCACTTGGAGTATTGTGTACAGTTCTGGTGTCCTTGGCGTAAAAAGGACATGGAACTGTTGGAACAAGTTCAGAGGAGGACCACAAGGATGATCAGGGGACTGGAGCACCTCCTGTATGAGGATAGGCTGAGAAAGTTGGAGCTGTTTAGCCTGGAGAAGAGAAGGCTGCATGGAAACCTCACAGCAGCCTTCCAGTATCTGAAGGGGGCCTATAGTGATGCTGGGGATGAACTCTTTACTAGGGACTGCAGAGATAGGACAAGGGGTAATGGGTTAAAACTTAAACAGGGGAAGTTTAGATTGGATATAAGGAGGAAGTTCTTTACTGTAAGGGTGATGAGGCACTGGAATGGGCTGCCCAAGGAAGCTGTGAATGCTCCATCCCTGGCGGTGTTCAAGGCCAGGTTGGGCAGAGCCTTGGCTGACATGGTTTAGTGTGAGGTGTCTTTGCCCATGTCAGTGGGTTGGAACTAGATGATCTTAAGGTCCTTTCCAACCCTAACTGTTCTATGATTCTATGATTTTAAAACCCTACAAGGACTTCCAGCCAGCAGTAGCACCAGTATGGTACACCGTGTATATCCATGGACAGCATCACTTGGCAGTCATTATGACAACACAACTTGGGACACTCACTGCTGCTGCTGTGGTGGGAGAATTGAACATGATACAGTCTCCAAGAACTGAACACACAATCCCACCAACAACTCTGGAGACCAAAAAGCTTTTGCAAGGCAGAGGTCCAATCCACACCAGCATCTGCAAAGACCAGCTGTTGCAAGGAGAGATGCAGGACACATGGTCTCATTGGCTAACTCACAGCACACCTTCCTTTTCTCCTTAATTGATAAGTGTTTTCTGCTTGGGGGAAGGAAATAAAATGAACACCAAGAGGAGATTTTACAAATGCCTAGTTCTGGGCTACTTATTTCTTACAGCATTTAAAACAAAAGAAGTTTCCATGTATGCCAATAATAATTGAAAAAAGTTTGAGAAAAACGTGCAAGTTGAACAGCCTTCTTAGAATAGATTCATAATTACATATTTTATAAACTCCCTTCCAAAGGTCTGATAAAATATCATTTTGAAAATAATTTCCATAGAATTTGCAAATCTAATATGAGAACCCTCTGTGCAAAAATCAGTAAAAAATTGAAATACAGGCAATTACCACCCAATGTATATGGAAGTCTCTTACACAACAAAATAAAAATGCATTTTCACCACTTCCATATATAAGAATAGGAGGCATCCTGCTGGATACTTCTCAAAGTCATATCATAGTCAAGGCTGTCTGAACATGAGAATCCAACAAGATATTGTCAAGTTTCATACATAAATTCCACACATATAAAAAATAAAAGTTTGAAAATAAACGCCATATCCCCTCTTCAAGCCAGCAACTACCTCTTGTTCATAACAGAAACACACTGCAGACCTCCTGCTGAAGAGCCAGAATGTATTCAACGAGCAAAAGAAATAAAAATCTCAAACTATCTGTATTTAAAATACCAAAAGCAATTATTGGCATGTAAGAGTAGTTCTCTGGCAGCTGGGAACGGTGAACACCAGCTTGCTGATTTTACATCCGCCCTGATCTCCTGCCTGACCTTAATCAGTGCTTTTTCCCTGCAGCCCCATTGACAAAACTCACACAAATACTAGTGAGATTCCTGGCTGTCTTGTCTACTAGAAGCCATATTTCATGGGCAACCAGTCCAAGGGGCTGCAGCTCCTCCAGACTTCCATGCCAAAGTTTAAATATGACAATGCAAAAACCTATGGTGTCTTAGGCCCTAATTATTTTTTTTTCCATACTTTCTGGAGCACTAAAATTGAATGGATATTTAATAGGAAGGTCATAAAAAGGCTAATGTTCAAATGCAACCCTGCCAAGCCTCCTGTATTTTGCTGCAGAATCATCCATTTGAGACTACCAAAACTACTCCCTTGTTCCCAGGCAGTTTATCTGCAAAAAATACTGCGAGTGTGAGAGAGCTGTAACATGGGAGCAAGCACAAGAGAGCAGACCAAGGTGCTGGCTGACAAAGAAAATCTATAAACAGCTAAAACAGAGATAAATCAATTTTTTTATCCTGAATCCCAGATGAGAAAATAGAGACTTTTATGAAAAAGAGCAGCCACGTGGTTGCTTTCTCGATAAGACATTTTGGTTGAACAGCTTTTTTTTTTATTCAGCAGCATCATAAGCTTTGTTACTGCTTGAGATAGGACCTTTCATAGCTGGTCCAAAGCATTTCCTGGTAGCTGGCTCTGAAGCTGCCTTGGGCTGGGGCTTTGAGAGGCATCTTTGATTTGAGCTGCACCAAACCTTGCAGGCTGATGGACAGCTTTGCTGCAACAGATGGGTTGAGAAAGAAACGTTCTCCAAGGAAGCTCACTGGAAGTGTCAATCTGCCTTTATCCTGCTCCCTTATACCTGCGCATGAACATGCTATTTACTTCCACCCAAATAGATGGCACGCCATAAACCGCTGCATCCAGAGCCATCTGCTTTGGACATTAAAATGTTGTTAAATAAGCCTAGAAAAGAAACATTTGAGAAGGCAGAATAAATCCAACATTACTAACAGGGATTGAGAGGCACAGACTTGTTTCAAGGATGCGGCAGGAGACAGCAGCCAGCCTGGAGCAGATCCCATCTGCCCCATGTTCAACAGCACCAAACGCCTTAACAGATGACCTAAAAGGCAGCTAGGTGTCCTCAGGCAGTAGGTGCTCCCTTCCTGCATCAGTCAGTGCTATGTTAAAATGTTATGATCGACTTCTGTGAATGAGGTCTGTGTCAGCCCAAGTTTTATCACTTGGCTCTTTCGATAAGCAGCCACCAGCGTCTTCCCCAACAATGTTCAATGCAGCACCAGTCTTCCATGGTGCGAGCACCATCAGAGAGAAGAGGACAATCAGCAATTGCAGAGAACACAACAGCAGGGCAATAAATACTTTTCAGAACTTATGAAGCAGTGAATATTTAACCTCATAATAACAGAACTGATTTTACGTCACTGTTCTTATTTGAGGTGTTACCAAAACATCATAGAATTGTATCATCCCCTCTTCTAGCTTTTAAAGCCATTCCCCCTTGTCCTAATTTTACATGCGCTTCTAAAAAGCCCCTCTCCAGCTTTCTTGTCAGCCCCTTTATGCACTAGAAGCTGTTCTAAGGTCTTCCTGCAGCCTTCTGTGCTCCAGGTTAAACAACCTTATATCTCTCAGCTTGTATCCACTGCAGAGGTGCCCCAGCAAACAGAGCATCTTCATGCCTTCTCTGGACTTGCTTCAACAGGTCCATGTCCTTCTTATGTTGGAGGCCCCAGAGCTGAACACAGTACTCGAGGGGGTGGTCTCACATGAGCAATGTAGAGAGGAGAATCACCTCTCTTGACCTGCTGGTCACATTCCCTTTGATGCTGCCTAGCACATGGCTGGTTTCTGGGCTGCTAGCACACACTGACAGCTCATGTTGAGCTTCTTGTCAACCAACACCCCAAAGTCCTTCAGCGCTGTTCTCAACCCAGTCTCAGCCCAGCCTGTATTTGTGCTTGGGACTGCCCTGAACCAAGTGCAGGACCTTGCACGTGGCCTTGTTGAACTTCATGAGGTTGGCACAGACCCAGCTCTCCATCCTGTCCACATCACTCTGGATGACATCCCTTTCCCCCAGTGTGTCAACCACACCACACAACCAGACACTTAGCCCAATCTTTTGGGGTTTTTTAGGCCATTGCTTTCTTTCTCCTTCATCTGGCAAAGGCTAGACAGAGATTACTTAATTCAAAAGAAAAATGGCTTGATTTATAGCATGGCTTTAGTGTGTGACTACAGCTCAGTGTAAAACTAAGTTTTCTCTCTCTATATATATAGACTATATAGTTTTCTAAGACACAGCCAGACCTACGCCTTCTCTGAAACAGCACAGGCTAAACTTCAACTTCTTCATTCTTAAATCTTCTCATTAAATTGGAAACAGCTATGGAAGAATCAGCATGTCTCACTCTCTTGGAGGAACATCAAGTCTGCAGACTTGAAGTCTCTCAGTCCCTTTCCCCAGCAGCACTTTATAGCTCCTACCTGTTCTGTGCAATTTCAAGAGAGAGGTGTTTAATTCCCCACCTTGCAAAGAAATTCCTTCTGAGGTATTCTGGTGTTCATACTCTCATACAAGTATGAGAGCTGTGAAACATGGTCACATCAGCTAATTACAGGCATGCCCTCAGCTCTCAGCGTGTAGCATGTTTGCCAACAGAGCGAGATGAGGGGAAACAGCAGAAGACAAAGCGGACATGATCACTTTGAGGGAACAGACAGTGGGTTTGGTTTGAAGAGGAAAGGAAAATATAGAAATGAAAAAGCAGAGCAAGGTGGAGAATAAAGCATTTACACCCACACAGGTCTTGAAAGGTCCTGATCTAAAATAACCTATTAACAGGGTGCCCTAGACACAATAGGGTGGTGATGGGGACCCATACACCAGGGCAGCACAAGTTGATGAGACTCCTTAGCAGAAGATGAAACCAACTTGTGCAGGCTCAGGGACAGAGCAGAGGAAAGGAGAAGTGTCACCGGGCACAGCGGGGGCTCACCTGTGGCCGAGGATGGCCGGTGACCAGGCAGGTCAGCTCCAGCGTCTCGCCCTCACGGATGGTGTATACCCTCTCAGAGTAGCGCTCCTCCTCGATGTTGCATGCCAGGCCCGAGTGCACGATCCTCACGGTGGGGGGAGCTGAAAGACCCAGAGAGAAAAACTAGGTGAGTATCACCACTTGGGGCTCACACAGACCCATCTGCCCTGCAGCAGCCTGGGGCCCCTGCCGACCCCTATCTGGGAGCACTGGAGATGAGTATTTTCACCATGCAAAATACTCTTCTGCTTACTCATCAGATGCATATGGTGGTGGATGCCTCATCTCCAAAAAACTTCAACGCCAGGTTGAACAGGACTCTGAGCAATCTGATCTACTTGAAGGTGTCCCAGTTCATTGCAGGGGGGTTGGAACTAGATGAGCTTTAAGGTTGCTTCCAACCCAAACCATTCTATGAGTCTATATTCATTGCCAGAAGATATTGCCACAGTATTTATTAATAACCAGCAATGCCCTGAGCCAAACCTTCACAAACTCATTTGCATTCCAGTGATTTTTGTTTCAATTTCCAAATGAACTCTGCATTATTGTTCTTTTTATTATATATCTTTCTAAAAGTATTATCACACTCATTATGCAAATGAGAAGCCTTAATTAAACCATTAAAATTAAGCAGGAGAAACAGTGGGACTGATGCTGCTTCCTTTCAAAGTCGATACCAAAATCCTGTTGCTGTCAGAGGGCCCAGGATTTGGACCAGAGGTTAAGTTCAAGCAGAACCCTTACTTCAATTTTCTTGCATATGCAACCTGAACTACAGGAAGTTATTCTGGTTTACATGTTGTACATGTAACAAAACTTCCATGTTGTTGCTAACACACAAATACAAATTACAGCTCTGCTTCAGCAAGTCTCCAAAGCATGTTCCTGGTTCTATGATTTCCTTTACTGCTGAATGGTGAAATTCACAACTATTAAAATTTTCAGAGATAAGGAAATTGAGTTACAATCCTACTGCCAAATAAAGTAACATAAACAGCTGAATAGATAAAACATAATTGTGGTGAGTTCTAAAGACCCAGCATTTCACCCACCCTACTCACCAGCACAGTGTTCCTTTTCAGTAAAAGCAGATGCCCCTTAAAGTCTTAAGTGAAGTCTTAAATCACAACCAGCAAGCAGAAGACTCAGAGCTGAGCCCAAAGGGACTCCTGTCCCCATTCCCCATGGACAGGAGGCCCCTGCTGCTCAGATAACATCCATGCATTCTCCCCACCAGCAGTAACCTCTCCCCACAATTGCTGCTCCATTTCCAGGGCTCTGCACTGCACATCACCTCCCTCTCACACCACTCCACTGGCTCTTCGCTCAATCTGCAATTGCTCAACACCCACCTCAGGCACATGTGGGATCCCTGAGATGCATCACTAGCACCCCTGCAGAATCCCATCACCATGCCATTGCTGGTCCAACTTGCACACAACTCCCAGTCAACAGTCCATTGTGGCACCAACTGCTGCACAAAGCCCAGAACTGATACAAGCCTGCTAATAATTCAGATTTCTGACCCTCCCTCTCCAGAGGCTGAAAAGAATTCAAAGGCTCAAGCAAAGGGTCCTGAAAAAGACAGTGTCAGGTCAACTATATGAAGAGGAAGAAAATAATTATTTCAGTCTGTGATGACTAGGCCTGACTTTCTCAGCTACCTTGCATCGCCCTATCTCAGTTACTACATTTAGATCATTTTCAGTGTGCTTGTCCTAGATTAAGCTCTTCAGCAAGTGTTTAACAAATAAAGAAACAAACCTCTCCTTGGCAGAGCTTCTCTGCAGAGCACCAGGCCAGGCAGAAGAGCTCATTCAGGGAATTATAGAATCATAGAATAGCTAGGGTTGGAAAGGACCTTAAAATCATCAAGTTCCAACCTCCCTGACATGGGCAGGGAAACCTCACACTAAACCATTATCACCCAAGGCCTCATCCAACCTGGACTTGAACACTGCCAGGGATGTAGCATTCACAGCCTCCCTGGGCAACCCATTCCAGTGCCTCACCACCCTAACAGGAAAGAATTTCCTCCTTATATCCAGTCTAAACTTCCCCTGTTTAAGTTTTAACCCGTTACCTCTTGTCCTGTCATTACAGTCCCTAATGAAGAGTCCCCAGCATCCCTATAGGTCCCCTTCAGACATCAGACGTTTCCTCAATTACAGATGTGCTCCCAAGTCATAGAATGGTTTGGGTTGGAAGGGACCTTAAAGATCATCCAGTTCCAACCCCCCTGCCATGGGCAGGGACACCTTCCACTAGACTAGGTTGCTCCAAGCCCCGTCCAACCTGGCCTTGTACACTGACAGGGATGGGGCAGCCATAGCTTCTCTGGGCAACCTGTGCCAGCACCTCACCACCCTCACAGGGAAGTACTTCTTCCTAGTATCCAATCCAAATTTCCTCCCTGCCAGTTTAAGACCATTCCTTCTCATCCTATCCCTCCATGCCCTTATAAAACAGTTCCTCTCCTGGGACTTCAGTCAAATAGTACAAGGTGACACATCCCTGGACAACCACCAGGTCACCAGATATAATGACTTCGTGGGGCCACTCAAAATTAACCAAATGGGCAAAAGATCAAAAGTTCCCCCACCCCATGCTCATACCCTCCCACAAGGCAGAGGGGAGGGAAGTGGGGGGTGGAAAGGGGATGAGGGGGCAGGAGCTCAACAACAGCAATGAGCTCCAGCACAGCTTCCAGCAAGCTCTGCACCTCAAGTGGCTATGAAACAAGTTTCAAGGACCTACCAGGTCACCCTCTCCACTTTTCTGTTGGCAGCTCCATTTAGCAAAGATGAATACAGGCTAAAGCATTCTTGCTCTTGGCAGTTCTGTGAGGCCAGTAAACCTGCCGCCTAGCATCAGTTGCTTCCAAGTTCAACACAATGACTCAATATACACCCAGTGCTCAGCCTATGGTCACGTTTAGTCAGACAAGTATATCCACCTGCATCCCTCCCAGGAGCTGCCTCAGATGTTCTTTACTGCTTAGAATAAACAAATTGAACTGAGCCATCCCTTTGCACCACAGATCCAGGCTTCTCTTTCTGATGGAGCTCACCATCCCTCCTGCAAGGCCAGAGATGTCCTTGTCTAGGAGCCAGTCCCCTGTGTCACAGTCTGACTTCAAAATAACCCATTAACTCTTATATTTTTATTTTTTTTTCCTAAGTGGACAACAGCACTAATGCTCAGTGTTCTGCAGGTTTCCCTGTGCTAGATGAGCTGATCTCCCTCCACAGACCTCAAGAGTTCAATGTCCTGGGATATGGAGCATCCTCTTTGTTCTGCATATACAGCTGCTGTACAGCAGGGCTCTGGGCCACAGCTGGGGCTTTTATGACCTTCCACAACAGAGGTATTAAAATACTAAAATGTTAAAACAGAGCCATGGAGCAGAAAGGTAAAACAAGGTTCAGCATAGATCACAAGACTTCTGATAAAATTAGAAGAGTCAGCAACATTATGCCAACATCCTCTTGCTTTTTAAATCCATATTACATTAATATTACATTTTCATTCATATGAAATTCATATAACTTTAAATTACATTTGAAGTATCCTTCATTTTAGTGTCTATGCCACTGCTCCATAGCTATTAGGTTTGGGAAGGCAATACAGAAATGAAAAAATACCCCCCTGTGTGTTATTATGGCAAAAGATTACACTGCTTTAAGAGGAGATCAAACAAATAAAGGAAAATAAAAAAATATTCTTACTACTTTAAGTTTTAAAATCTTATGGTTGGGGAGACATTGCATAATTATTAAATGTCATCTCCCTCTCTACTGCAGGAATATTCATTACAGCTACTTTTGAAATAGGCCTCCAAGGATTTGATACCAGATGAGACATTAAATTAATATATACTTTGCATTTATTTTGTTTGTGGCATTTTGGAAGAATTTGTCTTGTGATCATACACAGTAAATATTGCATGAAACAACCCATCCTGGTGCTGTTCCTCACAGCTCGCACACACAAGTCAAGGAAAGCTGCTTATGACACTTAGGTAAGAAGGAAAAGGCTCAACAACAAAACCAAGTACAACTCCACCTCACTTCTGCTGCAAATAAGCTGTATGGCGCCATGAGATTGCTTTTTTCCGATGAAAAATGGTGCCAAGCTGACCTTTCACCATATCTTGTTATATAATGATGTTACCTAGGTCCCTTTTATTGGCTGATTTTTTCCAGCAATTTCAATTCATTTCGCTTCTCTGCCTCTAGCACACACATATACTCCTATACAAGAGATCTGGTTCAACTTGCAACAAGTTCCTCAGACATTACAGACCAGGGACAAAAAAAAAAAAAAGAAGAATGCAATAAAAATTTATGTGAAGGCAAAATTAGAAATGCCCCAAATTGAATATGTATGTGGGTATCTAGACACGCTTAATAAAAAAAGACAAAGGACAAAACAGATGCTGTAATGAATGCTAGCTAACTTCCAAGGGAAATATGCAGAATACATTTGTTTTCAAAGGCAGTGCAAGAATAAGTAGAAAAGAGTCTTTTTCAAACCAAGCTGGTCACCCAGAAAAAGCAGATGAACAAGTGGCTTTAAACTGATGGAGGGGAGATATAGATTAGATATTAGTAGATATTAGGAAGAAGTTCTTTGCTGTGAGGGTGCTGAGGTGCTGGCACAGGCTGCCCAGAGAAGCTGTGGCTGCCCCATCCCCAGCAGTGTTCAAGGCCAGGTTGAATGGGGCTTGGAGCAACCTGGTCTAGCGGAAGGATCAACTGGATGATCCTTAAGGTCTCTTCCAACCCAAACTATTCTGTGATTCTATGATTTTAAGTGAGAGTTAAGTGAGAGTTGGGATAATACAAAGGAAATGCTTCACAACATACAGTAGGTTTGTGGAACTGTGGTGCAAGTAAGACACCTTGGACAGCCAGAGTGCTCCAGTCTGTCTTTCTACTTGAAGTGCTGGTAACTCTCCTGACCTTAATCACTACATTCACAATAATCGGTATTTTTCTAAAAAAGCTCAACTGCTACAATCGTGGAAATAAATGATAATTTTACTTCTTATTGGGAAAAAAAAAAAAAAGAAAGCTTTTAGTCTGTGAGATTTTGA